TGCCAAGGAATTGATTATTGTGCATCTACAACTTGGAGATGAGCAGAGAGTGAAATAAAAGAAATACCTCTATCTTATACATAGGAACAGGGATGCTTGATGATGTGCCTAAGTTTACACAGGAAATTCTATGTTATGGAATTGAATCTGTAACTTTCAGAATCCAGCTCTAGGACACTGTTTCAGATCATAACCTGGTCTGTACATCACAGGGCACTTTCTGTTGCATGTGAAGAGAGACATGTATAAGTCCATCATAGAAAGCACTTCTAGGAGTTTTAACTGGATGCCTAAGGTTTAGACTGGCTTTTAGTTTCCTTTTCCAGCATCTGAGTAAGGATAAAAGGAACACAGAATTTTAGAAAGCACCTAGGCAGTGAAGAGAACTTGGCCAAATACAGTGCTCCAAAGCAGTAAAGGGTCACAAGGTAGGCAGATTTCCCTATGGAATCCCTGGTAACGCGATTGAAGTTTGTCCCTCTTCAACAGGTTCCTATTGTGAATAGCCTAACAGAACAACAGAATCTGACCAGGATGAATTGGTCTATTACTTCATAGAGTTTAAATCATAGTGGTGTTGGAGACCTTGGATATCCCTGAAGTGAGACCAATTTAATTGGACCTGGTCTTGTTTTTTCCATTGCAAAAACTCATTTTGTGCAGGGTTAGATTTGGAAGTCAACAAGAAAGGTGCCACGTACTAGCCTTTGCTGTGGAGACTATTCAATTTCCATTCATCATATCTTGTCAGGAGGACATGAAGTATACACTTACCACTGGAAGTTAAAGGCCCACGCATGGGTTCATCTGGAGGATAACTGGAAGACTGAATTCCTCTTTTGTGATGAGAATGCTAATCTCCTGAGACTTCAATTTGAATTGGGAGGTGGAAAAATTCTGAAGCCTGTATGATGATGTGAACACAAACATTACTGTTTTTCTTGGATGTAATGCAAGCTTAAGGTATAGGAATGTATTCCCTTGTATTGTTGTGCAGTACTTGTATGACTATAAAGGCATTTAAGTGCTAACCCAGATTAAACTGATATTCGGTGGGTTTTTTAATGGTGTCGGGCAAGGTTAAGATTGTTTTGGGTGCCTTAACTATGGATTTGTGTACTTTGGCGTGTTTGGGTTTCTTTAAAATGTAATCTTTATTCAGAATTCTTGGATCTTTTAATGTGTTGGGGGCTTTTTGTGTACTGTTAGGAGACCAAAGGGCCCCCATGCAGGCCTTTGACCCTTGGATGAAGCTCCTTTTCCCATTGTAAAGCCAAATGGATGAAAAGCTTGTTTCAATTGATTTTATGTTGTATAGCATGTACAGTTTAGCACTTGTGTGAAACATGTTGCTTGCAAGCAAAGCAAAACAAACTCCACAGAAGTGGATGCTAGCATTTAAAAGGACTTGTGTTTCTGGGGTTAAAGACACTCATGTAGGTTACGTGGTCAGCTCTGTGGTGACAAAGTAGGGCCACCGTTGTTAGCTGAGGTAACTTTTGAAGTTCTTGTACGTTTAATAGTGCTATATGAAGCTACTATGTACAAGTAATGGATGTCCAAGTGCATGCTCAGAATTTGGATAGAAATTTTTTGGGATGTGATGTTCATAAAACACATGTAAGAAATGATATAAGGAGGACTACAGTCTTTTCTGTGGCAAGACATTGGAACCAGCATGAGAAGGAATGTCTGTTCCATGTTGTTATTACTATTTAGGTAGGTGTGTTTCCATTGGATACTCTTGAATACTTCTAGGTGCATTGATCATGTTCCCCCTGTATTGGCAAGTTGAAATCCAGGTGCCCAACAATCAGCTGGCTTCCAGGCTATACTAGGACTGGTAGGAGCCCTAGTTGCAGTCCCTGGAGCCAGCCAACAATTAGCTGGCATACATTCAATTTTAAGGCACAATGGAAATCAGCCGCAAAAATATACTTTCTGTGTAATATTTTTGTGGCTGGTTTCCCATTTTGTGGTGCCATTATTTCCCTGAATGTGTGGCCAGGTTACTATTGATGACAATGGACTAATCATGTCTTAAGTGTAGTGTCTGTCAGGGGCCTTAAATGTCTAACTTTGCAAAATAACTACTACTGAAATGCAGTGGACACATCTACACCATGTGTTTTAATGCACAGTAGCCTATTCTGCGCATTAAAGTAGCATGTACAAAACCATACTAATATGCTAATGCACAGTAGAATAGGCTACTGTGCATCAAATGTTATCTAAAAAGCA